AGCATATTTTAAGGTCAGGACAAGGTATAGCAATTATCTCCTCAAAAACGCTTGCCTCCTTCACGCAGCAGCACACGTAATTTTCTGTGCAGTCAGTTATCACACATGGAAACATCAGCGCTGTGAGCTACAGACGCTCAACTGCAAATGCCACAATTTTCCTTTTTTGGAGAGAATGATAGAGAATAAGGTTAATTCTGATGTTAAGAAACTTGGTTGACACCTTTGTTTCATAACTGTACTACAGAATTTGAGAAGGCCAGTGACAAAGAACTGAAAGAGTATCTAAACAAGAAATGTGACTTTAGGCACAGACTCTACAAAGGAAGACAAGCAGAATATAGAAAGACATTAAAAAGTTTTTAATACCGCTGCAGGAGATAAAAGTTACTTCAGGTACTCGAACAGCTCAGTTAATTAGCACTGGCTAAGGTGTAATACATCACAATGAACTCCAATTACTTCAATAGTCTGGAAAAACGTAATTCCCATGTGTGCATGAAAATACATGTGCGCAAAAACACACACATGCCATGTACACATATATACACAAAGATATACATATACACATAGTACACACAAGAGGTATTACTTTTACAATTATTTTTCTAACAGAATTCTGCAACTGCCATTAAAAGAAAATAAACTATAGCAAGGAAGAGCACACAAGCTCTTTAAAAGGGCATGGTCAACCCCCTTAGGCCCACAGTGCCCTTTTTGTATCAGCATAGTGGTTGTAATTAAAAACTAGGCAGAAAATCAGTTTGATTTTCAGTACAACATTGCATCCGTCCATGGTGAGTGCCTAATTTCCGTGTTTCTCTCTTCTGCACAATATGCAAGTCCTTGGTTGTTTTAAACTGTTGCCCTGGGGAATCAAAAAGACTCTGTAAGAGGGGCCATGTGCCACTTAGAAAGTATACTAGCAACCAAGAAAAAAAGCCATAGTAAATTGGAAGATGGTTAATCAAACCCATTCAGATTCATGAAACTTAAACAGTTAAGGGGGCAACGCTTCCTTACAAGAACATGGAAAGAAAAGTTACAGAAAACCTGTAATAGCAACCTATGAGCTATGTGAAATATCATAGCTTGCAAAAAGTTCACATTACAGTGAATAGATTAAAAAAAAAAACAAACAACTTTTTATAGCATAATCTATGATAAACACTCAAATAGATAGCTAAAAACTTCAGGGGTTAGGCCCATATGTGATAATGATTAACATTACTGTCACAATTTAAGCTGAACGAAGTAATCCATTAAAAATTGAAAAAAATCCATTCAATTTCAGAACTGAAGCTCTTTTAATCGTTCCTTTTCAGAACTTCTATTAAAATCCAACAAGTAATTCTTACATGAACACCTTCGAATAGACATCTTGACTATGCACACCTAAATCTCACATGACCTATTTATTGATTATAACGAAGGTAATGCTATGACAAATTCAAGATGACCTGCATAAAAGCTTCCACTGGAACAGTCTTTTTATCCAAGTTTAGAGCTGAGTGGGTATCTGGAATCAACTGCTTTCCATACTCCTGCTATCCAATTCCCAACTGAGAGATTAGAGATTAGGTATCCTGTGCCAAACCTCCTTATCGAATGTCTTTACATTTACAGTAGATCGCACTTCTCTTAAATGCTGCAAGTTTTGCCAAATGCATGAAATATCCTTTTAAATTGAGATCAGTAAATTCTGATTTTGCCAGTTAACAGTAACAACATTTGAATGATATTTTATCTCTCTGGCCCATTAGTCTGACGTGATGAAGGAATGACAAAACATAACAACTTATTTTTTTTAAACTTGCACAAGTATAATCAAAACCAAAATAATTTATTAAAAGTACCAGAATTCTACGAGGTAATCATCATCTCCAAAACTTGCCTGAAAAGAGAAAAGTAATGTACCCTTCACAAATTCTAGAACTGAAAGGCTTACATGCAATCCTGAGATCGATTAAGCATAAATTTTCCCAGATTCCAATCACTCTGTTATGTGATGTAACTCTTCAAAATATATATATATAGTACTTATTGCAAGTACAATCATTTATGTGCATCAGAATTTGAACAGAACAGCACACTCAATTTTAACTATCAACTTAGAATCATAGAATGGTTAGGGTTTGAAGGAACCTTAAAGATCATCTAGTTCCAACCCCCCTGCCATGGGCAGGGAAATCCTCCACTACACCAGCTTGCCCAAAGCCTCATCCAACCTGGCCTTGAACACTTCCAGGGATGGGCCAGCCACAGCTCCTCCGGGCAACCTGTTCCAGTGCCTCACTACCCTCAGAGTGAAAAATTTCTTTCTTATATCTAATCTAAATCTCCCCTCTTTCAGTTTAAATCCATTGCCCCTTGTCCTATCACTACACGCACTTGTAAAAAGTCCCTCTCCAGCTTTCCTGTAGGCCCCCTTTAGGTACTGGAAAGCTGCTATAAGATCCCCCCGGAGCCTTCTCTTCTCCAGGCTGAACAGCCCCACCTCTCTCAGCCTGTCTTCATAGCAGAGGTGCTCCAGCCCTCTGATCATCTTCGTGGCCCTCCTCTGGACTCGTTCCAGTAGCTCAGAAGAGACATTTCCCACTTACTTTCTAAGAAAGGCCAGCAAAGACAAGCTATGTATGTATAAAAATGGACTACAATTCCTACATCTTCACAAACAGCTTTAAGGCTCACTCAAAGCTGGTAAAACAATTCAGTATATGTCTGCACCCATTTTGAATACTTCTAAATACAGCAGCCAGGTAGAACAGGCATTGGACGAAGATCTTGAGTGTCTGTACTAGGAATCACATTTGGCTCATGGGCTGTACTAGAAACATCCAAGAGAAATCAAAATAACAAAACATCCCAAAAAATTGTTTGTTTTTTTTTCCCCTCCTCACAATAGGTGGGGTTTGATACTAAAATCTGATCTCATCTGCCCCCATGAAGAAACAAAACCACTCTAAAGCACCAACAACTGTCTTTTTCCCAACATCTGCAGACAAGTTATGGTTCTATCTCATTTGGAGTTATAAATGTTTCCAAGTGTAAACATGCAATGGTGATCCTATTTATACTGAATGGGATGGATTGATAACCAGTATCATAAGTTTAAAAGTTACACTGTAACTATTTTAAGTTTTAAGTAAAGTGCAAGTTTAACACAGCTGGGATACATAATTCATCTGTTGAAGCCAACAGAAATTTCCAAGTCAAGAGAACACACCAGCAGAACCGTACATAGCACGCTAGTGGAGCGAATCCTTGGTTTTGGCTGGACTGCAGGAGACACAAATCCCACTAAAATTCAGTTAACTTTTTTTTTTTTTTCAGAAGAAAAAATACACAGTGGCTGTGGCCAGATACTTAGAGTCAAAAGGAAAATGGAGTGGCCTCCACCTGAACACTGAAAGGACAAACTGAGTTGCTGAAGGTTTTCTTAGCCCTATAGATAACAGCAGCAAAGGAAGAAGAGGGGAGTTTTTTCCAGCCAAGTTGAATAAGTAGAATTAAACATAGTAGTATGGAATATACTTAGTCCATCACCAAACTCCTTTGAAGTTGAACTCATTAGCTTGGTCATCCAAACCTAAAACCAAAGCAGCTTGGATACACCTACAGTTCGGTCACTACAACGCACCGCCGCAGCAGCACCAACCAGCGCAGAGCAGGCTACACTGCGAGTATTTTACACACCCCCTTGGTGGGGTCCTGCCAGTCCGCTCCAACACAGCTATATTGCTCAGTCTATGCAATCTCCTGGTAGCTTCAGCGACAGAATAAATTCTCTGTTTCTTCACAATACTCTCTCTGAATGAAAATCTTCCTTCATGCTGTACGTTCTTAGTATCTTACTTTATTTGGTGTCCTCTGTTTTCTCTCTTAAGTGTCTACATGAATGCTACAACCCCAAATTGCTTGCAGTACTTCACTTGAGTCTTCCCAATTCCACCAAGAACAAAAATGGCACCTTCATCACCTCTGTGCCACATTCCTCTCAATGCAACCAGGAATTACGTTTTGCTTCCCACCACAATCACCCCCCTGTTGATTTATGTTACATGTGATCCACCAATGACTCAGTCTTTTACACCCATCTGAATTATCAGAATTCATTTTCCTGATTTCAGACCACTTTCCAAGATCTTTTGCTTTCTAATAACTGTTGTCCAAAGGTATGGAATTCCCTCAAGTGTAGTATCATCAAAACCAAAAGTGTAAACATTTGCATGATAAAGATTAATGAAAACATGCTACAATTGGTCCCCAGTCATTCCAGCTTAATTTATTTGATATTTACGATTTGAAATTCCTTTTGCTATGCCTCTCAGTCATTTTTCATGATATTTCTTTAGTTCACATATTAATGGTTATCACCTCATTGTTCAGAAATTGCTTTGCCAAATTCCATGCTTCGCTGAAATATTCAGGCCTCTCAACTTGAATATATTCCACTAAGTTGAATATTTTTAGTTATTCCCTACCCATTTAAGACAGTTTTCTTAACATATTATTGTTAATATCACACTTGAAACTCTTTTGGGATGTTGGTAATCTTTAAAATTGTTTTCTCTGGATCATCTGTCATTTAATCAACCTTCCCATTAGTAAAAAGCCTGTACTTCTTTCCCTTGCTGCTTTATTTCTAGTGTATTTATTGAACCGTCTCTTTTTTTAGTATCCAAACAAAATCATTTTCCAACAAACAAAATCTCAATTAAAACACTTCATTATTAAAAAAAAAAAAGATGAGTTAAGTAATTTTCTTGATCTCAGCTTAAACGGTTTTGCAAGGATTTTTTTTCTTCAAGCTTACTCACAACCACACACTGTATACTTATCTCACCTGCTTGTGCAAGAGCGCATATCCGTACATAAACATTCACATAAGCATACACATCCCAACACCAAATCCTCCCAAATTTCAGTTTCATCAGAAACGAGGGTTGAAAACAGAATATATACTGTAATTACCTCTGTATTTAATGGTATTTTCCTACCTTTTTTAAGCCAGCAAATCCTTCCGATTCCAGGAAGAAAAAGGCAAAGGGCATCAATACAAACAAACATAAATTTGAAAAAAGAGAAGCAAGATTCCATAAACCTGCAACAAACAAGAAAAAGTTTACATTATAAGTCCCTCAGCTTTAGAAGTTAAAGATGTTACATTTCCCTCTCTTACATATAACAATGTAGTATACATACAAGTGCTAACAGAAGCCAGGTTTTTATGGATATATAGTTATTTACAGGTCATAGCTGAAAAATACCCATTTCTCTGCACAACGATCTCAAACAAAAATTGGATACCAACTTAAACAGCAGCAACAGTCTGAAATCTTGGAAGACAGACTGCAAACTCAGGTGGACTACTTCCACAATATCACAGTCCAGGCTCTTCAGATAACTGTTTAAAAAATTTTCAGGACAAAAGTATTTTACTACCATCAGTGAATCTCACAAAATTCAGTTCTGTGTCCTCACTTCCTCCCATATTTTTTCCTCGAGAGAAACGTAGGCAAATCATAGATTTTAACATCAGCAATACATAAATACCATAATCACCTCCAAATTAAAAGAAGATATGGTTAACAGCAACAGCACCCTTCCACGATGAGATGACAGGATCAGTGGGCAAGAGGAGAGCAGTGGAAGTTACTTATCTCAACTTTAGTAATGCTTTCAACATCATCTCCCATAACCTCCTCAGACTAATTAATGAAGCATGGGCTAGGTAAGTGGACTCTGAGTGAAAACTGGCTGAGCTTCCAGGCTCAAAGGCTTATGATCAGCAGTACCAAGTCAGGCTGGAAGCCAGTCACCAGTGGTGCACCCCAGGGGGTCAATATTGGGTTTTACATCTTCATTAATGACCTGGATGATGGGAGAGAGTGCATCCTCAGTAAACTTGTCTATGATGCAAAATGGGGAGGAGCAGTGGCCTGCTAGTCAGATGAACCTCAAGAGGCTGGACAAATGGGCAGAGTGCACACCTAGGACCAATCATCCAAAAAACATCTTTCTAGAAAAGGATTTAGAGGTTCTGTCAGACACCAAGCTGAACACAAACCAGCAATGTGTCTCTGTAACAAAGGCAGCCAACAGCATCCTAGGCTGCATTAGGAGAAGTGTTGCCAGCAGGTCAAGGGAGGTGATCCTTCCTCTGCTCAGCACTGCTGGCACACACCTGGAGCACTGCATTCAGTTGTGGGCTCCTCCACACAAGACAGACACGGCCATACTGGAGCAAGTCCAGCAATGGACCACAAAGATGATTAATGGACCACAAAGATGATTAATGGACTGGAGCATCTGTCACACAAGCACAGGCTGTGAAAGCTGGAATTGTTTGGCTTTGAGAGGAGAGGACTTCATCAATGCACATATATATCTGATGAGGGAGGGGGAAAGGAAAACGGAGTTGAACCCTTCACAGCAATATCCAGTGAGTAGAGAAGAGGCAATGAGCACAAATTGAAAACAAAACAACAAAAAAAAAACAACTTAAACATAAGAAAAAACTTTTCCCACTATGAGCACAGCCAAACACTGCAACAGGTTGTCCAGACAGGTTTTGTAATCTCCATCCTTCGACATACTCAAAACTAGACTGGGCACTGCCAGGAGCAGCATTCTCTAACCGACCCTGCTTTGAGCAGGGGGGTCAGACTAGACGATTTCCAGAGGTCCCTTCCAACCTCAACCATTCTGTGATCTCGGTGAAAAATCAAAAACTGACTAAAACTGGGACATCTGTAAGACACATGTGACATCTGCAGGAAGGGAAAAGGTTTAGAAAACAACCTGAAGTGATAACTGATCTCCACTAAGGTTATCTGCTCAATTAAGATTTTCTGAAATGAACACTTTCTGAACGGCCAGTTTCTGGTGCATAAACATGAACCCATCATCATCCTATCAAAAGTTGTGCAGGATGCAGTGTTTCTTCTTTATAAAAGCAGTAGAAGCTTACTTGCAATTTAGTACTAGTGTAACGAAAAGGTTGAACTAGTGTCACATGTTCCGCATCCTGAAAATAGCGCTTTTATTTTGTAGTTGAGAAAAACAGGCTTAGTCCCCCACCTTTCCCAAAACACACACATTTCCACAATTCTGCAAGACTGTATTATATCACCCGAAATCCAAAACAGAACAACCTCCATGATAAGAAAATTTGAACTAACAGCTTTGTTTACTTCTTTCTTCTCATATACAGGCTTGTTCATTTTCTTCTTTGAAATTTCCATTTTGAAAAAAATAGGGAAGGAAAGAGACATTTACTGCAAGACAGGGAAATCCATTATTGAGAGAAATTCCTGTATTTAGTTCCAAATGTAAAATAGTTAGCAGTTATCTTTACCTACATCCCCTTAAAAAAATGCTTTCACCACGTACATTTTCTTTTTATTTAAATGAAATTAAATTTCAAAGAGAAATAAAAACAGGGTGGGAGGCAGGGGGCCGAGAAATCTACTTCTTCAGCAACTCACAGCACCAGGACACCAAGAATCAAACTGAGCCGAATAAGCTACAGAAAACAAAACAAGAAAATTCTAAAAGATGCATGAAATGTAATACTCAATTGCTAAAGAAAACAGACTGCCTAAAGGTGTCTAAACTCTAGCTAACAAAGATGAGGATTTTTCCTTTTGAATTTGCTTAGCCAGGAAGCTCCCGTTACCATTCAAGGAATGTTCACACATAGCAACATCAGCAAGAATATCATTAACAGCCCTTACTGGAGGTACATTAACTCAAGCATTCTGTATATTTTTTTTTCTTCTCTTTTTTTTTTCCCCAGAAAATGAAGACCACAGTGTTAGAGTAGAAATACTACTACAACAGGATGGAGCAGTGGTTTTCTCTAACTAAAGACAGACAGTGCACTCAGTTGCCTGATGTAAAGCTGAATACCTGATTGTTCTAATTTCAGCAGCTCTATTACATGTATATCTACAATGTAAAACAGTGCTTAAGAGCTGCATAGTATGCACAAAGCATTTTAAGGGAGGGGAGAGTGGTGCCCATCTGGAGTGATTTTTAAGTAGTTAAAATCCAAAAATTTACACATTAGCAGCTGAGAGGAACCACATTTACAGAATATTAAACTACACAGCTACAACATGCATGTAAAGATATGAGAGGCAAGAACAGTGCTGTACTGCTGCCGACATACGATTACACGTTGCTCAAAGTAAAGAGCATACAGGGCCTCTCCTTCCCCTATTGTATTTCTTATCCTAATTTAATAGTTCAGAAACCAAATTAAAATAGCTCAGAAAAATAATTATTTCCTACTACATTGACTGAATAGCAGATAGCAACATATATAAAAGCTTTAAGCAGTCTATTGGAATATATTAATTTTTTTTGCATTTATAGCGACCTAAGAATGCCCCTCATAAAACAAGTTAATAAAACATAAAAATTAAAAATCTCTCAGTCTTTGGCAAGCAGATTAGACCCTCAGCAATTCTTTTTTATTCATGGCAGTTTCATGACATTTTACCCCCACCTGGTGGTTGAATCTAACAACAGCACAAGTGAACAGACAGCTGTCCAGAAGTATTTCTGGGTTTAGTTCAGCATGAATTGGGTAAGCGCATTTATACTGGATCCACGTATGGGCTTTCTGCCTAATTTCAAAAGTTAGAGGCATATATTTTCCATTTTTCCATATGCCACAATTAATGCAACAGCCTACAGTACAAAAACTGTTAATGTTACATTCAGGTACCTCAGGCTGTATCTGTAATTGATAAATCTGGCAAAGCCAAAGTGGTTTAGAGCAATACAAATTCTCCCATTTGATAGGGTTTGCCAAAGCAGTACACAAACCATACAGGAAGGCTTTGCCAGACAGTGTTACGGAGACATGAACATTTTCTGAGTGTAAGTGCTTGTGATGGCACTATCAGCTCCCAAAGCTTGCACAGGTATTTCATAGCTAGCTTCCAAAAGGTCTGGCATTACACGGGACAGGTTTTTACAGAGCAGTGCAATGCTATCGTGCAAACCCAGTGAATGCCACAGGAGGGAGCCCCTCCCCAAGGTAACCTTTTGAAATTATTTTGGTCGAGTTGCAGTAACAGAAGCCTGTGGTCAGATCCAAAATCCACTGATGTTTCTGAAGTCTTCACACCAACTGTGGTAAACCTTGGCATAGTTCAGTCGTATCCTCCCCTACCCCTACAGCAGGCTTTGCAACACACAGTCAAACTCAGGAACACCAAGATGCTCTATTTACTTCCTTGCTAGCCATTGCTATTGGACTCATGAAATATAAATTATACTGTGCATGCATAAAGCGGTACTTTCAAAATATTACCACATTAAAACCAAAAGATGGTCACTGGAAAACTCAAAGGCCTTCCTATGTGACAGCTACTTTTTCCAGCAGGTTTCTAATTAACTGAAGTTTTCTCAAGTACTGCAGCTATTCTAACAGATTGAAAATTTCTGAATTGGTTATTATATAATTTTCACTCTCTGAAATATATTATTGTAGTTTTTCCAAAGTCAATTCAGACACAGAAGGAAGGTTTATTTTCCATTAAATATTTTTGTGTGTGTGTGTGTATGTTCAGAAGTAAAGAATATAAATCTGTCTGAGCGGCTAAATCCATGTCAAATGTAAGAAATAGCCGGGTTTTCTTTTTTCCAAGTAGGAGATATACCAAATTAGCAATCGCCATGATGAGTGACAAAACAGATCACAGAATAACTCAACTAGAAAGGACCTCTAAAGTCACATCATCTTATCTGCTGTTTAAAACAGCTAAACTGCAGGTGCAATCAGGTTGCTCAGGGCTTTAGCCAGCTACGTTTTGGAAAACTTTCAAGGATTTAGATTTCCCACTCTCTCTGGACAACCTTTTCCAGTGTTCAGCCACCTCCACTGTGAAGAACTGTTGCTTTACGTCCTGCAAACATTGCTTGTTGCCTCTCACTGCATACCCCAGAGAAGCAGCTGGCTCTATACAAACTCCTCACCAGTTGCAAATCCAGCTGTGCCCTAACATTTCTAATTTCACACCAGGATACTAACCCAGGTGATATCTCTACACCCCTCCTGGGCAGTTCATCCCTACTTTTACCTTCTGTATACTCCCTTTTTGGTTTTTAGCTCAGAAGTTCCCCAGTAAGCCAAGCTGATCTCCTATTACATCTGCTCATTTTCTTGCACACTGAAGTGTACATTACGGTGCTTGAAGGTTATACTTGAAAGTAAGCATCTGTCCTGGCTTCCTTTGCCTTCAGGGCATTCTCCAGTAAGGTCCCACACATACATTTCCTGAAAAGTCTACTCTCTTAAAATCTAAAATCTTTACGCTAACACTTTCCTTCCTCACTTTTCTCAGATCTTAAACTACTGTCACCATGGTCAGGGTCATCATTGACCACCACGCATACAGTCAGCTCTTCTTTATTCAAGAGTTTAAAAAAAAAAAAAAACAACACACAACACAAAAAAAAAATCCACACTTCTACTGTCCAGGTAACACAAGAAACACTCAACTAGTTTCAGAAAGATGAGAGACAATATGCATTATTTCTTGTCTTCACTTATCCATATTTAATTTAAAAGATATGGATCTGGAATTCAAGAATTTGCTACCTGTGAGTATTATTAGACATTTAGCAAAGAGTACACTTACAGAAAAATCCTAAATTCAATTACTGTCTCTTCACAAGGACAGAAAAACTGTTTCACATAACGAAGGTACTATCTTCTTTCTCCTTTTTTTTAAAACTAAAACTAGTGTTAAAATTAGTCTTACCTTCTTTCTCCAGCCAAACCTACTAAAGAATATCCTGTTTCCACCAGTTATTTCCCTTAGACACACGGGAAGTCTCCAAATTATTTTCAAATAATAGTATCCATAATACATGTCATAGTCATAAGCATGTTAATCACTATTGGAAAGCATGTAAAATTGTCAGACATCAAGGCATTATCGCTGCACATACAAGTAATATTATTTTCTTGAATCTTGTTTTCCTTGAAATAGTCTATTTTTATTTTATTTACTACACTTAAACTTACATTCTATAATTTACCTTGTTTACAAATAAACCACTAACAGTGGAATTTAACTATCTAATCCAGGCTGCTCATAGCTAGCAAGTCTCTTAAGACAATTTTTTAATTTTGAGAATAAATTTATATGTATCAACATAAACAGACAGGCTTATGAATCTTGCATTAACACATGAGGAAGAAGTTTGAAAAGTGTATTTTCACGTTAGCTTCTAGGAGCTCTCATTCTACATTAATATTCAAAGCAGTGAACTTGGTTTAACTCCATCAAGTCAGCATAATTCTTTAAAAACCCAACAGAACAGTTAAGACAGACCTTTGTGATACATCACACAGCAGCAAAACCGACTACCCAATAACTTGTTAACAATTTAATTAGCATCTTAAAAGAAGTTATTAGTTTGAAAACAAGAACATCCTGTGTACGTATAATGAAGATACCCATTTTAATTATGTTATGCTGAGTACTAACCATGAATTAGCGAGCCATTTAACCACTGAATATAGTAGTTCTGTGGAAAAGAAAGCAGGATCTCATTGCTGATTATTGAGAAAGGTAGAAGCAGGACTGCACCAGCTGAAACTGCTAGAGTGAAGGTGCTCAAGAACAGCCTGAAATTTAAAGAAATGTACCACTGTTACCACCAACATGCTCCAAACAGGGGAAAAAAAAAGTAGTTAGCCTACCTATTAATCAGTGTCTGCAGGCAACACAGTCTTACATTGTAAAGGGGCAGAAGAAACTGATTTCCACAGTATTTCACTTCCAAAAAGCAAATTTCAAATACCAAGTAGTTTACAGAATCCAGTAAAAATAATTAGTGTTTACCAACTACCATAATTATTCTCTTGGGATCTGCTTGCATTCAATTCCAATGTCACACACAGGATAAATTATTGGAGTTCATAGAATATGTTTTCATAAGTCTCCTATTTTAGTTTTCATTTCCCACAGACACATTCAGAATGAAAAAAATCCACTTCTATATTCTTACTACAATTTTTAAAAGCAGAGCAGCTTTTTAATGTTTAAAAAGTGAGTATAATTATATATAAACAAATGTTTTAACACCAAACTGAAAAAAAAAATATTGCTTTTCTTTAACAAGGTATTTATTTGAATATCATCTCATAGCTTGGGGCTTTTTCTGATAGCTGTAAAATCTATACAGAGAAATTGTCAGAATTATTTCAAATGTTTAAGCTTATTCTTTTCAGATCTCAAATGTAACATATCAAATGCCATCCTGTGGCATTAGAAAGAACTGTTCTTCAAAAGAAATAAGATCAACAAAAACATTCTGACAGAACTAATCCAATGCTAAAATAAAATTAGAAATAATTCTCAAAATTGTGACAGTAAAATAAACTTACTTACATCCTTGTTGTAGGAATGATCTGTTTAAGTTGCTTACAGAGATCTTACTTTTCCTTAGCAGTCTACAAATTTATTCTTCATTCACACAATACTTAACTTACAGAATAAAGTCTGGGTGACTAATTTTATTTTAAAAAATAATATATATTCTTGTATATTTTTGTTGGTGGTTTCTGAGGTATTTTCTTCTTTTATTTAAGGACGGCTAAGTATTCTAAGCCAGAACTGTGACACACAATGCACTACGCCTTTCAAGGTGCTGCAGCAGTTTGGCTTTGTTTTCTTCCCCACCCACCTCTTTAGTCCTAACAATTATGTTATGCAAAGAAATATCAATCTGTGTATGTTTGACAGTTATTGCTTTTTGGAAAATAACATGCATATTTAAGGAACAAGAAATCTTAGGCTAAAAGAACAAGCAGCACTTTGTAACAACACTTACAATAAAAGGCTATTACTCTGATGGAAGTGCTAATCTTGTCTTACACTGTATTCACATGAAGCACCCAGTATTTACAACTGATATTTGTTGTCTTTTAGAGCTAAACTAGGAAACAGAAGCAGGGAAATAACAGTTAACAAAAACTCTGTTCTTTGAACGTTGAAAAATCCAGAACCAGGCCAAGACCACAGCTGCCATGAAAATCATTCAATCTAGAAGAGCCTTCGCTGTAGTCTTAAAAGCAGAAAAGTGCTCCTCTACTTAAGAGCGAAGACTTCATAGCATTTAAAAGTATCTATTTTCTCTCTCTAGATCTGAAGCAGATCTTGTGGCAAATAAGAATTTCAAATTCCTAAAAAATATTGGTATGAGACGCTACAGGGAGAAGTGCACCTAAGACTGACATCACCTTTGTACATCTTTCAAGCTTGCCACAAGTGCACAACTAAAAGCGACCAGCTTGCAACGTACTCGGCACTTTCCCAGGGTACAAAACAATCAATAAAATACTCCATAAGCTCTCCTTCCAGAAGGATGACAGTACAAGTCACAAGACAAGGAAGTCGTCCACATAGTTTAGTAAATCATGTAACTGAGAGGGCAGCAACAGCTCATAGATGTTCTGTAAATCTTCAGACATATTTCAATAGTAGAGATTAATATTTAGCTTTACAAAGGAACAGGAAGAAAAGAGTTGCTGGCAGACCAGCAGGTCTGGCAAATGTTTGTCTTCCATTTGTTATTCTTTTTTTAATGTGGGTTTGTTTTGTTTTGTTTTGTTTTTAAGATGATCAGATACAGATGTCTACTTCAGGGTGAGCTAACTTTCTTTGCAGGATCCATTGCCTCCCTTGACAAGGCTTCCATCGACTGCAGTGGGAACGTGAACACCTACCTCCCACATAAACACCTACATTTTAGAAACCTAAACTTAGGTGCAGGTCTTGCACTGAATTTCACCTCCTGCATCAGGTCCTCATGCAATATTCTGGCCAACTTCACACCAACCAGGAAAACCACGGGTAAAAAAAGCCCTAGACCAAACCACCTTGCCTCTTTGTCATGCCTTTCATAATATAAGGTGCCACTTGACCAAACGTTTTTCCTCTGCCCGCTAGCAATTTATTTGCTGCCACATTTAAAATAACCTGTTATTTACTTGGAAGCATACAAGATTCCTATCATAACAATATATTCAGGAAAAAACGTTCTGCAAAAGAAGAACTATACATACGATATTCTGTTAACGATGGCATCTTCATCCTCTTGCTCATCTGAAAATTAAATTACAGCAGGTTATATTCAATACTTATTTGCATTACTTAGTCATCTTTCCTCAGGTTAAAATGTATATATATAGGAATAATTTAAATTTACAATTAAAATTTAGAAATACTAAAACAATTCATTAGCATAAATATTTTAATAATGTTCCTACCGAAAATGAATACTCTTTTTCTGC